ATTTATATATAATAGTATAAATATATATATTATTAATATTTTACTATTTTATATTAATTATAAATTTAATTTAAATACTTATTAATAAATAATTTTAAAAATAAAAATATTATAAGTTATTAATTATATAAATAAAATTAAAAAAATTTAAAAATAATTTAAAAAAAATTTAAAATTTATATAAAAATAAATAATAAAATAGGTAAATTAGAAAAAGTTAAAAAAATTAACTTTTAAAAAGAGAAATATAATTTATTTACTTTATAAAAAATAAATTAAAATTAAAAAATTTAATAATAAATTTAATTTTAAAAAAATTAAATTATTTAAAATTAAAAAATAAATATTAAAAACTAACTATAAACTTTTATTATTTAAAAATATAAGAATTTACTTAGTTTTTTATATTTTAATATTAAAACTAATATTAATAAATACTAAACTTATTAATAGTATTAAATTTAATAATTATAAATTAAAATATAAGGTAAAATAAATCCTTAATTATAAAATATATAGTAATATTATAAAATATTTAGTTAAATAGAAAAATTATAATAATAAAAATAATTTATAAAAATTAACTAAAAATTTAATAAACTATTAATAGCTTTTATAAAATTATTATTAAACTTATTATTTTTAAAAAGTAATACTTAATTTATATTAAATATATTAAAGCTAAATAAAAGTTAAGTAGCTATATTTATAATACTTAATAAAGTAATATTAAAAACTACTTATAATTTTGCCTTATAAAAATATTTTTATTTAGTATTATATTTATTTAAATTTTATATATTTTATTAAAATAAAAATATATAATGCTTTTTAAAATAATAATTTTAATAATATAAATATATAAAATGCTTTAGGGCGGCTTATAATTTAGTTTATAAAAAAAATAACTTTTTTTTTACTTTTTTAGTTTTTTTTTTAATATACTTTTATTTATATTAAACCTTTTTATTATAAAAGAAATAAAGGGTTAAAACTAAAAAACGCTATAAAAAAAAATAGGAAATATTTATAAGCTTAAATTATATTATTCCTATTATAAAATAACCTTTAATTTATATACTTAAAATACTGGTTAGAATTTTTTAAATAAAAATAATAAAAGTTATAATAGTAATAATAAGAATAAGGTATATTGCTTTTAGTATTTTAAAACTAAATTAAAGTAGTAAAAGCTTAATATTATTTAATTTTTTTAAAATAAGGCTTTTTAACTTTAAATATAATAGTTAAAAGATAAAAAAAATACTAAAAAAAAAAAAAAAAAAGGGGAATAGAAAAATTATATAAGGAAAAATAAATAGAAATAAACCTATATAAAAGGAATAAATTATAAAAGTAAGCGGAAAGATTAGATTAAATCTTTAAAAATAAAAACCTTAAAAAAAAAAGAATAATATTATAACCCTAATAAAAATAGAATTAATAGTTAGTTTTAAAAATAAGTATAAGCTAGCTATTATATAGCTAAATAGTAAAAAAAAGAATATGCTAAGCTATATAATCTACTAGTTTATATAAGGTATAGATTACTTAAATTAAGATTAAGCTAAGTAAGCTAGTATTTAAATTAAAACGCTTATTTTTAAGCTATTTAAGCTAATATTATAAATTAATAGAATTAGGTTTAAGCCTAATAATCTAGGCTAAAAAGATAAATTATATAAAATATACTTATTACTAAATAAATAGTATTAGCTTAAAATAGTTTTTTAGTAGTTAATTTAAGTATTTATTTTAAATAGCTATAAAGCTTTTAATTAACTATTATTATATATTACTTAGAACATTACTATTTTAAACGCTTTTTAAATATAAACCCGCTTATTAGGTTTATTAGCTAAGAACTAGTTGTAATTGTTATATTACTTAGCTATATTTATATCTTAAAATTTCCACTTACTTACTTAACTTTGCATATAATATTTTACTGCTTTAAAAAGAAAATAATAAAATAAGCTATAAGCTTAAAATATTAAAGTAACTAAATAAAATAATAAAATATATAAAGTTAAATAGTTAATTATTTTAAATTTAAACTAAACTTATTTAAAATAATTTATAACTTTATACTTTACTTTTTTATAATTAACTTAAATAATTAGTATAATTCAACTACCCTATATATAAAACCAATATACTCTAGTACTTATTTTACTATTATATTAAGCATTTAGATATACCTGTATATAACTTAATTCGTTATATACTATATACTCTTTATTTTCTTAATTATTAGCCTCTAACTTCCCAGTGTATTTCTATTAGTACCCTCTTTAGTACACTCTAGAACTTTAATAAAATCTCTGCAACTCTCTTTAAGAAGCAGCTGTTCCTGGGGTAAAGCTTTAGCTATAAATTCAGCGATTTGTTGTTTGAGTTTGGTTGCCGATCCCGGGATATATTTGCTGGATGACTGTGAGTTATACGATCTGTAGCATGCAATCTTAATTGAGGTCTTTTCTAGCATACCTTTCTATGATCGTCTTCGCCCATTTGTTACTGTTCTATTGTGACTCGGTTTTGATTTCAGTTCTAAGCGGATCCCATGTGGACGAAGGAAGACCTGACTGGTCCGAGGAGGACCCCGCTGGAGCCTTGGACCCTGATAAGGTGCCGGGCTTATGGGTGAACCGTGTTGAATACATTGAACTCAAAAGCTGCGTGGCAATCGACTAGCTTGAGGTCTTGAACTTTAAGGACCGTTGATACTTCAGCTACCGTGAAATTGCCGGCCCACGCAGGTCAAAACCAGTAAGATGATCCAGAGCATGGGAGTTTCAGCCCTTATGAGCTCATCCGCAATCTGGACCCCTCATTATCGTACAGATTATGATTGGACATCATGCAGCAGCAGGTATGAGTCTTACCTGTTTGAGCCTTGACAAGCCGTAAGCTGTAATCTAAAAGGATTGGATGAACAGGGCGAGCACCCATGTGAGAAACCAACCACGCCACGAACAGAAAAGGGTGACCTTCCTATAGATTCAGGGAGGAAGTGCAATCCATAAGGTACAGGCGTCGCACAGTCCAGCTTTTAATCCGTAAGGTCAGAGCTCTCCGAAGCGCTGCAAGGAATAACCGACCCTCGCCGCATACAGCGTGCATGTAGGACTCGGATGTCTCAATTCATGTGTATGCGGGGCTAGGATGGGCTGACCTGAGGCATAGGGAGAAGAACAGAAGGACTTTTCCCCGGGATATCTTCCTGCTCAAGTTCAACTGTCAGACCTTATTTGCAGTGCGTATCAACTAGTCATTTCAGACCGTACGTCTCTCATAATCGACCTAAGACGAATATGGCTACACAGTCCCATGCCACTCGACTACAAATTATAGTGACATATGCCAAGGATGCGCCAACATCGATCTCAAGAGGGTACTCTCGAAACCCTGGAGACCGACCCAGAAAGTACAGCAGCCGGAAGCGATCGCCATCCTATTCTCAATATTGATGGCCATGAAGCCAATACTTGGACGACTTCATGCATAATTTGCGGGTTGCGCGTGCTATAGCACCCCCTCAAAAGATATGGACGGCGCACCTTGGTGGAGAGAACGTCAAGTGTCACTATACGGGCCAGACCACGAAGTTATCGGAGGATTCCAGATCGAGAACAATTTCCTGGGCGTCGAAAATGTACATGACAGCAAGAGAATATTCATGTACTATCCCATCCCGGATGTTTACCTGTGCGGCCACCATGTTATAGCACCAACTGTCCGAATTCTGGAACCCAAGAAAGCAGATCTGGGGATTTTCCAGAGCGGGGTAACGACATGCTTTGATGTGCACGGGAAATCATGTAGCGTCACGGAGTCCGATGAAGTGCCTGGACTTCGATTGCTCAACGTGCGTGTCCCTCATGGAATAAGGAGCCTGTACACTGTTGGAGGAAGGCACCACCTCATGTGGCTCTGAGCTACGTATGGGGCCAGCCTCCCGGCAGAGGGGACGATATCCCAGTGCTTATAGAAGACGCTATCGAGATAACCAAAAGCCTGGGCTTCGACTATATCTGGATTGACCGGTATTGCATTCCTCAGGCAGTGGGATAAGGGCAGGACGAACAAGAAGGGAGAAAAATGAGCAGGAGAAACAAGAGCAAATAAAGCGTATGGCTCAGATCTGTGGCAATGCCGAGCTCACGATGATCGCAGCCCCGGGGAACTCGCAAGAGCAGGGATTGCCTGGTATATCAGCACCAAGAAAGTCTCAACCACACGCGAAAATTGGAGATTATACATTGGTTTCAACTCTTACCACGCCGCAGGTGCTCGTTCACGCCTCGCGATGGAGCAGCCGGGCTTGGACCTACCAGGAGGCTCTTTGCTCACAACGTCGTCTCATTTTTACCGATGAGCCAGTGTTCTGGGAAAGTGAACAGACGAGCTGTCGAGAAATCGTGGACTACGAATGGCCCCTGCATGAGTGCATAAGTACAACATCTTCAACTCTTACACTGTTCACGGCCTCGCAGCAAAGACAATCAGGTAAGACGAGGAGCATATATCAACTTATACCAAACGACAGCTCACGCTTGATGATGATGCGCTTAATGGCATGCTCGGGATTCTGCGAGTCTTTCAGGAAGGAGCTGCGCCTATATTTCACATTTGGGGCTTGTTCATGACCACCGAAAACAAATTCCTCGCGTCGATGAAGTGGGCTTTGAAAACACCCGGTAGGCGACGACGGGGGTTTCCAACCTGGTCATGGACCGCGTGGGTCTCTGAGGTAGTCTGGAGGCCTCTCCAATACTCGGACTTCCAGCCCGCAAAAGACTGTCGAGTTTCTATTGGTCAAGAGAACGGATCCTTCCTCCCATCCCAACATATATTTGAGCACTACGTGATCCGCAGTCTCAACGATTGCATCTCACATTACCTTCCCATAGAGGGTTGGATGGTGGACCTGCACGCATAGACCTTCCTCCCAAATTCGACATGGTTTGCGTGACCCGCCAGCACGGGGAAGGACCCGCACGCGATTGTTCCCGTTCTCTTGACAGAGGAAGTCGATAAAAAGACACGAAACTCGTGGCGACAGGTGCCCAGAGATTTGCTAGGCGTTATTCTTGCAGATCATCTCAACTTGGATGGGGGGCAGCCCTTGTTCGTCTTAGTACTTACAAATGTCGATAGCCACTTCGAACGGATTGGTCACGTGAAGCTGGACAATAGGCCGGGGCGTCACACTGATGGTACGTAGTCATGGTCGATATCAACTGGCCGTCGACCTACACCCCCGCAAGTAGTCAACGGCGAGGTCCTGGATTCACACTATGAATTGTGTCGACGTGAAGTGGCAATATGGATGCGGAAGGTGACATTCCGCCACATTACTCCAGCATGAGGAGACAGTTAGCAACATTTGACATTACCTTTGGGAACAAACATCGCTGGTATCAAGTTCTGCATCCTTCACCCTAAAGAAACGAAATTATCATTCAGTAAGTCTTCCGTGTACGTGAAGTTCCGGGATTACAATGTTAACAGCCGTGAGCAAGTTTTAGGTGCGTTTTCTGATAGGTAAGCTCCTGAAGAAATATACACCCGGAACAGGTCGCATTAACGGGCCTAAAATATCTTCAAGTCAAGCGCGTCCCTTTCCGCCAACCCCCCTTCCGCCCACCAATTCGCTCCGCCCACCACAACTACCCTTTGGCTTCATCCTCGTCATCCTCCTCTGACGAGCCAACCGCGATTCAATCTTCGGTTTCTGTGGTGATTTCCGATCCTTCTTCGTCTGCTGACTCAGCGTCAACTTCCCCGGCTGCGATTTGTGCCCTCCGAATTGCCCGAATGCCTACAAACCTTGAGTTGAGCTTATTTCGACCTTCTTCCTCTTTGCCGGCCTTGTGGCTTCCAATCGATCTCTCAGCTTCTGGTTTTCTCTGCAGGCATCTTTTACTTGCTGATTAGGCCCAAGTTGGCGTCCATTCCGAAGTTTGCACTACCATTTAGCGGCTTTAGAAGGACTCTGTCTCATGGATCCCATAGAACCGTAATCCTATGTCTGGCTCAAAAAGTCACGCGCTGGACACCTGCTTTGATTAGGCACGAGCGGTGTGGGTGAAAAGGCAAACAGCCACTATCTGATGTTGCGGCCAGGTCGGCTTTGCTTCTGGTAGCTCCTCTCAAGAAACCATACCCGATTAATGGAAGTGCACGGCGGATCGCAAAAGAATGTGTCAGGTGTGGAGAGCAGGATACAAATATTACTAATTTTGTCGTTATCTTGTTAACACTCAGGCACTTGGTCGTTGCTTTCATCGGGTCCCTACTAGGACAAGATAGGCGGATCAAGTGGAAAGCGTCACAAACAGTCTCGACATCGTTACATAAACGCCTTGATTAGTTGTTACACAGAGAGAAGACGGTCTGTCGCAAAGCATCGTGCGAGACGAAGAGGAATTGGCGTTACATTTTCAGGGCCATACTATACCTCAAGTCGACGAGATGTCTCTGGCGGTAAAGGAGGCTCGCTGCTGAGTGGTTGTTTCATCGAAGGTCCAAAGAGGTGCCCCGGAGCCGGTCGAATTAGCTTGGAACGGGACGAGGTGCTTTTTGCAAGGCGTAAGTCACGACGTAGGAGACCTATCCGTGGCCCTGGGCGAGACGAAGGATATGGTGAAGGATCCTCGGGCTAGACAATTTATTGCGTACGTGCTGGTATAACTGGGCACTAGTCCTTAATTGTATGTAACAGAAACAATTCTCGTAGTTACGCTCCACGGCTGCCACCCCTTCATATCCTTAGCTTCAACTCGCGTTGGAAGACCGTCTTCGTCCAAAATACCCTGCGCAATTTTCTGGACTATGTCGAAGCAGTGTCTGATCATGGAAAGGTCTACCATAACCAACCCCTTCAGCAGTCCTTTCGAGCCAAAGACCGAGTAGCGAGTATGGTTTCCCAAACAGCCCCAGGCACGGCATTAGAGAGAAATTTGTAATCTTTAAGACTGGTGAGGGTATATATTAAATTTTGGGACAGATAGTATATTAAATATACCTGACTTATAGCATAGCTCTTACGACTTAGCTGGTAGAAGGGAAAAGTTATAGAATAATGAGCTTAGTGAAGCTACTGAGATACCAGAAGCTTGGCTAAGTAAGGGTGAGAGGGCTCGAATGCTGTTTAAGTTGTAGGTTGTTTATTTTGTTAGGGTGATAAGGGATAACGAGAAACCTGTGTGTAGTGGAGAAGACAGTTTGGCTACTATGAGGGTTGCGGGAGCTGTTAGGACGGCTTTGCGGACAGGCCATGGCGTTGATGTTTAGGAAGGAGAGTTTTCAAGAGTTCTGGGTCACGGCGAGTATGGAGAAAGATCCACCAGCACTAGCGACAACCAACTTCTTTCCGCCGAAAGCCTTGCCATCGATCACAGTCGGAATCTTGATATCATCCTCCGTGCTTTGCCCAGTCCTTCCATTGGAAGAAAACCCCCATGAATAAGCTTTCCCATCATTAGTAAGAGCAAAACTGTGATCTGTTCCAGCTGCGACCGAGACGATGCGCGGGATGTCTACCAGTATATGTTTATTTTAGCAAGGACTTGTTTAGAGGAGAAAATATGCTGCACAGGATATATCTCACCTGGTATGACCGTTGGACTCTTCAAGATACGAGCAGTGCCGCGCTCGTCATATATAGTGTTGTCGGCTGTGAAAACCTCGGGATGCACGCCAACTTGGTTGCCATCTATGCGCCCCCATGTGAGGAGCTTGCCATCGTCGCTAGCTGCGAGAGAGTGATGGTCCCCGCCGGCGATGCTCACAACCCTGTAGTCTTTCAGGGCTTCAACAAGTCGTGGCTTTAAGTGGTAAGCGTTATCCTCGCCGGCTTTTTCGGAGATGCCTAGCTCGGCGTAGGTATTCAGGCCCCAGGCATAGACGCGGCCTTGCTCATCGACGGCAAAACTGTGATAAGAGCCACAGGCGACTTGGGCAGCCTTCACACCGCGTTTTGGAAGAGCCCCTATGCTGGCAGGTCTGAGGGCAAGCTTGGGATGGCTGGCCAGCACTTTACGACCTAGTTGGCTTTGTTCTCCACAACCCCATGCATATACCTTACCCTTGCCGTCGACCGCAAGTACATGGTTGTTACCGGTAGCTAGTTGTCTGATATCCTTAAGATCCGGAATGAGGATCGGGGTCTTCTGAACCTCGATATCCTTACTGAACCCCATGATTCCCTCACTGGACTAGGCACCGTCAGCTAAGGTTGATCGTAACACACCTGAAGCGGAATCCATTGGGGTTCTGCGGAGCGATAATTACCCGGAACGTCCCCCAACCATATACCCTACCCTCGTCGGTCAGTGCAAACGAGGCGTTGTCGCTTGCAGCTACCTGGGCCCACCGCACATTGGGGTCAAGGCCCGAGACGTCGACGGGCCCGGGTGTGCTTTCCGCAGGGTTAAACTCATCATCCTCATCCTCTTCGACATTTGTTGCGCGCCCCAGAGCACCGAGGTCGTTAACACCCCATGTAAGAATCTTGTTGTCCTTGGTAAGCGCGACCGCGTGCATGCCACCACAGGTGATCTGGACCACGCCAACATCGTCTGAAGAGAGCAGCTTATTCAGTCGTGGCCGCATCACGTCCGTCAGTGATTGGCCCTTGACGATCTTGCTGCCAAGGCCGAGCTCCCCACAAGCTCCTTCACCAAAAACAAAAACGTCAAGCGGATCTGAGGGTATTCTGTTGATCCGCTGACCAGTTTTTGAAGATGGTTTCTTGGAAACGCCAGCCCTCATCTTCGGCTTCGTTGAGGTTTTGTTCAGGGAAGGTTCTGCCCTTTTGGACCGCTTGGGGGGCCTGCCATCGCCTTGTTCATCTGAGTCGGGCCTCTCAGCTTGCGTTAGAGCGTTTGGGATGGGTACCTGCCCAGTTCGCTTGCGCTTATGGTGCATTTTTGAAGGAGCAAGATCTTCCTTCTTCTCAACGCGCGCGATCGCCTTCTGTCCTCGGGGCATGGTCGAGATGAAAGTAGCTGTCTTTTTTGGGCTTAGTTATAAGACGATATTACATCAGATTCCGTCGTCTGTGTTTTTTTTTTTTAAAAAAAAAAAGGAACAAAAGGTGCATAAAGGCCAGATGCTGATCAGCAGTGGGGTGGGCTGAATTTATAAAGTCGATTGAAAAGGGCTTTGGGGAAAGAAGTGCGCTATTTTAAGCCAGGAACGGCGCGCTCCCGTAAATTCGGGACCGCACGGACCATTTAACCACCAACCAACTTGACAAAAGGTTACTACAGCAACTGTAGAGAGTAGAAGGCGTCAATCCTACGCCAAGAAATCTGCTGTCCACGGAGTATACCCCGTAGTGCAACCAACTTTGACGGTTCGGGTTACATCGTTTACAAAAACCCCAGTCGGCCGATTCGGCCAATGCGTATGCCGCGATGTCTGACAAAAAGTCTTTGTCATTATTTAAGGCGAACGAGACTGTGTCGACCTGCATAGTGGCACCAGAAGGCTTTCAAGATCGTACATAAGTAAGATTAAATACAGTAAGATCAGCGCTTCATGCCGTGAAAATTCGAGTCCCGAGAAAGTCAAGTTTCTTACCGTCGTGTTACAATTTGAGATTGCGTTGAATTTGGCGGGCCATTATTGGAAACATACACAGAGGAATGAGTTCACCTTGGAACTTCACTATGTAAAGGTGCTTGTAAAGGGTTGGTGTTCCTTGTAAAGTCCGCGATGGTCGAAATGAACATAAAATTCAATACGACAAATGAGAGCCGCTATATTAATAAGTCCCCCGTTACTGGGGGCTTTCAACCGAATTTCCTTGCTTTTTAATGCCTGGGTCCCAATCACAATAGGTAGGGTGTGGCTTAATTAGGTCCAAGGCTGGCAAAGACACCGGCTCAATCCAAAACGCTTACTTACCCCGCAACGTACCATCGCCATCTATATTGGATGATACAACTTTCACCTTCACTAGGACTTCAAAGTACAGCGGTGTATTTGATGGCCGAATGAAGAACAATGAGAACATGCCTCTTATATTAAGCTTGAATGAGTGGCAGAGCTACAATCTCAAAAAACGGAGCACGACTTAGGTCTAATACAATAAGCAAAACAACATTAAGAGAACACTCATTCATCGTCATCCCGTTCGAACTCCCTCCTAGCTTGAGCCCTGTAATAACCGCTATCATACTTGCTGTTGTTAGTTCGTGCGATCTGGTCAGCGGTCTCCCTTGGATATCCACGCTTGCTGTAGCCTATTGTCAGTCCTACACCAATGAAAATTTGAGGCTGACGCATAGTATCCAAACTTGCCGGAGATGCTCATATTCCATCATTACACGTTGCCCAAGTTTACGGTCTGCATCACGAATTTTGTCTTGTAGCCTTCGCACCCTGTTCTCTGTGTTTTCTAATTTATGCTCGTAAAAATCCAAGTGCTTGAGCTGTAGATGGGCTTGTTTTGCAAGTCAGCTCAAGCCTTTTTCTTCAGAGGTGATGCCCGAGAGTTCGAGTATGAAAGTACTCACATACTTGGCCGTATTGTCTATTTTCCTCACATACCCGACGATAATGCTGGACTTGTCTCTGGACCCGCGGAAGTTGCAAGTAGGTGAGTTCAAGCTTAATTCGTGCCCTGTCATAAGCTTCGGCTTGGGGGGATCGTGATGACATTTTGAAGGAGCAAGACGTCTCAACAGAGTGTGTGGGTGAATGTGATATCTGAACAAATTGGATCGATTTGAAGTGCAATTCTGGTTGATTATGGGCGTCTCTCAATCCGTAGTCATTAAGCAGGCTTTACTTTATATTCAAGCACCTACCGACGCCGCTTGAGATGTCTATTCTTAACATCAAATTCTACAGTTGCTGACCTCAAGACGGCCATGGACAGCCGTTGAGCCATGTCTCGGCCACCTGGTGACCATGAGGCATGTCGCATGTTGAAAACGAGGATTGTTGTGCCATGCCTCTTCCTCGTAGGATTGATAGGATGCAACAGATCAAGGCACAGCAATAGAAGCCCTGAAAATAGGAAATGAGTAGCAGCAGATGTGTCTCGATGGGATGAGATGAGCACGAACAACCAACAAGCTGTTTCAATGAGGGTCGCGATCTGGTCTATGAGACCCATCAGTTAGCACTCTCCGGAAATCTGGCTCTGATCTAAGGTGGTATCAGAAGGGCGAAGGCGATGTTGGTCTGGTATGTTGGTGTTTAGGGCTGCCATTGGATTGGTCGAATTACCTGCCCAGGCAAATGTGTTGGTTGTGATTAGCTTTGATGGCGCGGTAAGTGGCGGCCTACCGTCAAGGACTGACAAGCACGGGGATTGCACATCTGAGAGCAGGAAGACGAAGCTAGTTCTAAAATTAGAAAAGCAATACAACATCAGAAGAATGCGATGATACCAAAACGAGCGAGAGTGTGGCATTAGGATTGGGGCCAGGAAAACACAACCGTGGCTCGTAAGGCTCACGCTGGCACCCGAAGTGACTCTTCTGGCCCTTCTTGTTGGTTGATCTACCAAGGCATTTGGCCTTGCCTGGGTCAGCCGCGTGCCCTCAACACGGCGAGGACGTTTTGCATAGGCAGCCCACAGTGGTTCGTGGCAGGCATAGTTCAGCGCGCCCACGGCCTAGCCTTCAGGAACGCTGGGAGCTTGGTTACATTCAAGCACGCGTGGCAACCCCCAAGTCCCTGTCCATCACTCAGCGCTGATCAAACACATGTATGCCGAGGGCTCCCCTCCGTACGTGGCCTAAATACGGTCGTGCAGCTTGATCCCCAGCTGTGGGTTTGACGGTCTAAACGCGGATTCCTTTTCTTTCCTCCATCTTTCCTTTTAGTCGTTTACGGATTTGATTAAGAAGTCTTTGCGGAAGGAGTACTAGTATTAGTGCCTACTAAGCTTTTTTAGCTTTATACTTTTCTTATTTAAATACAGTTTTATATAAAACAGTGATTACTATTTATTTATGAAATATATTACTTTTATTAAATTAAATTAGTATAATTACATTCTTCAGTTTAATTATTAAGATCATGTAAAGGTTTATTCACCTTTTTTAATTTATTTTAGTGGCAGCGCGGACCGTATCACAGATATTACACTCAGACGCAAAACCGGACCATGTATCAAACCCGACTACGTACCTAGGTAACAAATTCCAAATCGCTGTAATTCAGTCCTCATCATAAGACACTACAACCCGTACATCAAAACTCTTCCTCACCTTATTTGTCCCCTCGTCTACCCACAGATTCTTTAAATAGAATTATTATAAGGGTATCTATGCATTCCATATTATACACTATAGGTCATTATAGTCTACAGTTGCTATCAGCAGCATTCTTTTGAAAATACTAAGTATTTTAATTTCTACTACGTGACTGGTCTGCCTATACGCTGCTTGAGAAGAATATACGGATAAAAAAAACGAAATTACTTAGAGCCACAGAGCTTTGGTTATAGACGTGCTGTAGATGCTTTCTCATTCTCTTTCCTGGCCTGTTCAGCAAGCACTCTCCTGAGCAACTTTCCGGCATTGCTCTTCGGGATTGTCCGTACAAATCGTACTCCACCCCGGAGCCGCTTGTACGGTGCCACTCGCTTATGTATCCAATGTTTCAGATTCTTCTCCATCTCCTCATCCCCTTTATACCCATCAGCCAGAACAACGACTGCTCTTGGGAGCTCAGTCGCCCGTGGCTCGCTGTATACTCCTACCACGGCCACGTCAGCGACGGCTGGGTGCGCAAGCAGCAGGCCCTCGAGCTCTGCCGGTGCAACCTGGAAGCCGTTGTACTTGATCAACTCCTTCACGCGGTCGGTGACGTAGATGTTGTTCTTCTCGTCGACATAGCCAATGTCGCCCGTGCGGTACCAGCCCTCGGCATCGATGCTTTCGGCCGTGGCTTTGGGGTTGTTGTGGTACCCCTTGGTGACGTTCGGTCCTTTGATGCAGATCTCCCCTTCCCTACCCTGGTCGACTTCCTTGCCATCTGCCATGATTCTCATTGACATGGATGAGGCGAGACGGCCACTGCAGCCGATAGGCTTGTTCCAATCCTCCAGCCTCTGAGAGCATACCAGTGGTGACGCTTCGGTGATTCCGTAGCCTTGCTTGATAGGCACCTTGAGGTGCTCGTATATTGCTTCAATTATCTCATTCGCCATTGGCGCTGCAGATGAGTGCAACATCCGCAGAGAACTTAGGTTGTATTTGCTGACCATAGGGTTCTTTGCAAGTGCGACGCCAACCGGCGGAACGATGTAGGCATAAGTGATCTTCTCTCGCTGTGTAGTGTCACAGAACGCTTCAAGACTGAACTGTTTCATGACGTAGATGGTGGTCCCCTCGTAAAGTGGACTAAGAACCAAGATAGCGATTCCTGGTCACATTGTTAGTTATCAGCCGCGATTGGGAAATGCTTCGAGTCTTGTACGTTCCATAAATGTGATACATTGGTAAAAATCCAAGGCCCCGATCGTTTTTCCAGTTTACCACGCCAGGGTCTGCGGTGCTTAATTGGATTATATTTGCAACAACGTTCTCGTGGGTCAACAAGACCCCCTTGGGAAGTCCTGTCGTCCCTGAAGAGAACACAAGCAAACACAAATCGCTCGGCTTGTTCGCGACCCTCTCGATGCTTGTTGACGAGGCCCGCAAGCTCAAAGCATGCTGAAATCGGCGTTCCGGATCGTGATCGCCCACGAGGAGAATCTTGTCCAGGGACAAGCCAACAGCTAGCGCCGCTTCGCAGGCAACCTTGAGGCTAGCCACGTTGGTCACGAGAGCCTTCGCCTGAGAAGTTCTTAATAGCGACACCAGTTCCTCAGTTGTGTACAGGTAGTTGACCGGGCAGACAACTCCACCTGCAAACCAAGTGCCAAACGTGACCGGGGCGACATCGGCGGTATTCGGTGTCATCAAGGCTAGTATGTCCCCCCTTTTCCATTTCCAGTGTTGAAGAAGGCTTCTTCCGAACGCCTCTGCGGCTTGACGTATGGCGCGGAACGTGAATCTCTTTTGGGTTGCAAGGTCCACGTAGATGACTGCTTGTGTGTTATTGCGGGGTCAATTGTGATACATGCACCACGAATGCTGACAAGTCCGATTGAAAAGATACGTACCATGTTCCTCGGGAAACTCGCGATCATTTCGCGAGAATATCAGGGTCCACACATCTACTGGAGGCACAGCGATCGGTGGATAGGTAGACTCAATAGGCATGTTTTCAAGTGTTGAACTCGAGCCGGGTTTGCCAGGATGAGCGTGGAAGTGATGAAGGCACGTTCAAAACGTAGGAGACTAGACTAGGAAGACTAGCAGTAGCAGGAGATCCAGGTCAAATAGAGTAGAGGAACATATCTTCTTGTCAGAAATAGTGCTGACCTACAGATCTTTTTGCGATTTAGGTCTGCATTACGTGATGCCTCGGCAGTTGATTTGTTGATCAGTCGTGGGCGGCCAGCACCTCGATCCGAAACCCTATCTGGGTAGAAGGCGGCCGCTTCGTTCGAACGTTCACGTAATCACTGTTATTCTTGATTTTTGTCATCATCCACGGCCAAGTCCAATCCACTAAGAGTCCTTTCTTCAGAGAGACCTGATTTTACATTGAAAGACTGTAGCTCTTGTTCAGAGTGACGGGTTTCGGTGTCTCAGAACCCTCATCGACCTGTCTCTCAATCACGATTCGACCAGACCTCACAGCCCAGGCCTTAAAACCAGCACTTGCTCTTAGGCTTCGGTACTATGCGGGGACCCCAGGGTGGCAAGCTCACCATTTTTGCGGTGATTGTGGTATGCCCGCTCTCTTAGCTCTCAACCGCCGTCCCCCGTATGCTATCCTACCCATATCATCTTAGTATTCCGTTACTCATGGTTCGGATTCACCAACACTGTTCACTTCCACCCACTCCTTGAAGCTTATGGAGTTTATGTAGAGATACTTTCATTCTTCCTCGGAGGGGCTCGCGACAGCGTCGGCAACCCTTACACGCCACCCCTGAAAGCAAAGGAAACATTTGGGAACCAGGACTCAAACATGACTGGGGAGATGCTGGGCCTGAAAGTCGTTCCTCCCAAAGTTTTCCCCATCTCATCCCTATTTGCGAACTCCCCTGCCGCCCTTCTTGCCGATTGGGCTTGGGCGGAAGCTGATAATCCAAACACCGGTGCGGGTTGCGACTTGGATCAAAGACCATTATCCTGCGGAGAAATTTGAGCAGACCTTTCCAGCATTGAGCGTGGCCTACTGGAGCAAAGGGATCCATATTTCGACCCCTGAGGGGATCCTCCAGGCTCTTGAAGGTGTGTTTTCGCCTGAAGAGATTGAGGAGATCATGAAATTGGCCGTCTCTCCGGAGAGTAAGAAGAGAGTGGTGAAACCCACGATAGCTACTGGCGCTTTTGGCGCACCTTGGATCGTGGCCACGAATGCGGATGGCCTGAGGAAGGACTGGTTCGGGAACGATCGCTGGGATCAAGTTTTTTATCATTTAAGCCATTAATCTTACAAGTCCGACATGAATCTTAGGTATGATCTCTTTAATAAGCATTTGCTAGATAATATGAATTTCCTTCATGGTCTCCCTCTTGAAGACTTCTCCGTACATCCAGCCCAGAACATAAGCCGAGCATACCGCCATGTATTGCGAATCGAACCAGTCCGACTTGTCTGGACCCAGTGAGCGCAATACCATGGGCGCAGCCACTCCGGCTACAAGTGCCAGCCGGTCTCCGGGCATTATTGAACCCGTGCCGCAGCCGAGATATCCCTCGGTCGTGATGAACCACGTGGAACCGCTCTTGGCTTGGCCGTTGATAATTTCGACGAAAAACTGGAATAAACCCTGCTCAAGTAATGAAGTCAATATGTCGTGAGCATCTTGTGGAGTCATCTCGTGGGGCCCAGTTGCCTCAGCCTGCTCTTCTTGCACGAAGATGTCGTATATTTTCCGAACCCGCAACAAATCATCATCTTTCTCTGGCAGGCTGCGCCTTTGCTTCAGAAACAGATATATTATCGCGGGGTGTATCGCCACCTCTCCCGTGGGGCAACTGCAACTTTTGCGCCAGCACTGGCAGTAGAAGCAATATTGACGGAAGGACTGTTCGGCGAGTATGGCTGGGTATTCAGGAACCACTTTCCTAAGCGCATTTACCCATTCAGAAAACGCTTCGATGGAAGTAATCACTGGGTCTTTCCTTGTGGGAAGACACGGCACCATTTCTGAAACCATCTGCAACTTTTTCATGCAGAATGCGATTGCCCCTTTCCAGTGTCCAGAGACAAAAATAGCTCGTTTATCTGCACCGAAGCGAGTGAACGTCGCGTCTCTCCACGTCGTCGCGTAATATACATTGGGTATGTCAGAAGTTCCGAAGGAAATGAATTGGTTTACTTCAAGCCTGGTCCAGTCCGGGACCCAAGTCGGTAATTTCTCGGTCCGTGACTCCATAGAGACGTGCCCCTGCTGCACAGTATTGGCATATATAAGCAAGTTGATCGCGAAGGGCTGGAGTCCCATTAAATCCAGACAAAGTTCATGATAAATCTGTGCTTGTGACTTGCTGTAGTCGAGCGTAGATAGCTTGACGCCGAAGCCGCCCAGCACACCATACAAGGCATAGGACATGTCCTTTGACTCCTTAGCTTGTCTGTAGCTCAAAGTCTCAACAATCGCGAGCAAGAGCTCAGCATTGATCCGCTGCTCAGATCCCTTGGCGTCAAGGTCACCCGTGAAGTCCCCCGTCCTGGGTAGCTTCAACAACAAGAGACACATTATTACCAAAAAGAAAAACAAGCCGAAAGAGCAGGAGATGACCACACCATCTGTGTAGAGGGCAGTCCTTGTGTAGAAGGACTTCACCAATGGGACGAGCACGATGCAATAGAGGAAGTAAGCGACGATGTGTGTAACCGTCAACCCCAGATATTGCAAGTGACGGTTGCATATGTCGACATACGGCCTTTGACGCCACAGGATAGACGAGTCGCTAGCGCCTCCACAGGCAAGGCGTTCGTTGCAATTCAGACCTCGTCTATTGACGCGCATCCAGAGAAATAAAATCCGCTCAAGAGCAAGAGAGCCACACGGGCGGCATTCCTGGCTTCCTAGAGTCTTCGTCTGAAAGAGCATATGCACTAGTCTTCGTCCCCAGTGCTGCACGGTCCTTCTATCGTATCTGACGCCATCACTCGTCCACGGATTGTTTTCATGACTCAGAAGACACCTTAAGTCGCGATACCCCCTCGCGAACGTATCCCAACTCAAGGTCGTGGGGCCACACAGGATAATGGCATCGGCCGCGAGCACAATCTCTTGGAAGGTCCAAATCCTTGAGAACCACGGTGTCTCAAGCAGTTCCTCCCAATCAGCTGCTCGATAGGAACGCTTCATTTCTTTCCACCTCCAATAGTCACACATTCCCTTGAGGTCCACAAAAGGGGGTATGACCTTAAGCTGAAGCTTCATACGCTGCCAAACAGATTGATGGCCTCTAGTCGCCTCGGGTCCCAGGGGCAGGTACACAAAGCTTGCCGCAAACTTGCTATACTCTAGAGCCCGTTGTATACCTGATGTCCCTTGGCCAAGCCATACATATACTTTATCGGCCCTAGAGTACACATCCCCCATGAGGGAGACTTGATGAGATCGCTCCGTTTGGCAATTCTGGTCGATACAGATCGAGTCTACCCAGATTGTCGTGTCGCCGTACAGCTGGCGGATTCGCTTCAGAGCATCCTGGCAGTTTCTAGTTATGGGCAATTCGCCAACCCCCAAGTCGATGGTCATTCTCTGTGTCGGTTGCGAGGTGCCCCAGACATAGGAGAGTGCCGTAAAGTGCGGGGAACTCTCTGGTGCCAGGGAGACGGTGCGGAAAGTGCCCACGAGGGGATCTTCGAAATCATTAGACCTCTGTAGGTCAATGACGCGAATCTCTGGAGAGATTGTAGAGATCGGGTATGCATGTGAGATAAATGACCTCACAGCGCAGTCTTGATTCGGCGACGAGAATGTTGAAATTGTTGTCTCTGACAATGGCGCCCGTGGCCGAGTGACAGGATCAACGGCGTAACTTTCGTCAGTCATATCTTCTGTGCCTGGGTCTATCGAGAGGTGTTAGGAGGAGTCCGGGCGCGGGGAATTCGATATGCGTTTGAGATGCTTCAGTTGTAGGTTGAACGAGCATGTAGGTTGCATCTGCACTGTTTGCTCAGAGGCCGCCCTGTAAAGTTTTTGGCTTACTGTATCCGCAGTTGCCCACTTGTGGTGACATCGACACTATACTGGAAATGGATGGAAGGCCGATTCAGCTCACATTTGGCAGCCTAACGTCTGGAGACAGCTGATGTGTAACAACCGGAGTCTTAGTTTGCACAGTCATTGTAGCTATGAGCAGCCTGTTCAGAGGTAGTATTGTGTCGATTGCCGCCGTTTGGTTCGGCTGGTATGTACCTTTTTGAACAACGTCAAAGCCCACTCTCGAAAACACAGCTACACCCCAGGACAAGTTGCAAGCACGTAACGGCGCATTTTCTGCTGTCTTGACGAATAGCTTGTCATGCAGGAAGTAGAGCTGATAATTGGTCCCACGGCCCCGCTTTTGTAGGTATTTGAACAGCCTTATCCGTCTCTCACACGGCCTTGTTTGGCCCTTAGCGAACCGTTATATTATTCCCGGTGCCAAATGCCACGTCAATACATCAATCGCCACTAATACGACTCACCCGCCGGAGGGAGAAAGAAGTGAGGGTTTCAGTGACTCGCCACACGGGCCATCACTTGGCTGCATTGGCGCGTTGGGCTTGGTCCTTGTTTGTCAGCCTTGTAATGGGTGTCGCAACTTGGCTGTATTCCTTCACAAATCTTCTGTAGAGATTAATGAATCCAAGGACGCTTCGCACGTCCTTTACATTCTGTGGAGAGACCTGAAAAAGGAAAGAAGAAAGGCCCTTTGCCCTAGTGTACCCACGCCCTTTTATGGTCCTCCGAGGACGCCGGCGCCAGCTCCTGTGTGCCCTGAAGCCCCTGCACAGCTTCGTCTCCACCATCCAGCCAACCACACCGGGTCTAAGCCGACACACGCATGGCATTGAGGAGTGGTATTTTTCATCGAGCCTCTTGTCCCTAACTAGACACCTTCATTCCGTTGCTTCGGCCTCATCTATTTCGTCAGGTTCTTCAATCCCTATATCATCATTAGGTCAGTATTGTCGACAATACATCCGATATTTTCAACTCACATCGCCTGATCTTGGCAGTGATTAAGCCTCTGGCAGGTACCCAAAACATCTCCAGAGGCTGTCCCGGAAGCGGCTTTTTGAAATTGACCTCGATGACGTTGAGCGGTGGTAACTCAGTCACTCCTGCTTCTTTCCCTGCCTTGACTGCAGCCCTCCACATGGATGTTGTATAAGCGATGAACTCTCGCCTGCCCACCGGAATATAGTTGAGCACTTCGAGCTCTGCTTCGTCATTATACAGAGCCTTTGCTGCTATCTTTCCAAGAAAACACCAATAAGGTCCTGGGAAATTCCAGTCGTAGTGATAGCCGACAGATCTGAAAATGGCCTCCTGTCTCGATTGTGACACTCTGCCACCGGGTTAGGTATCTCAGATCAGTACCTTCGAACGCATCTTCCCAGGCCAAGGCTTACTGTATGACGACGTGAGAGACATGGTCCTTGTCAAAGTCCCCAGAGCGCTCTTCTGTCATTACTCGAACCTCTGGGACTGAGGCCTCGATGGCGACATGGTCCGGCACCCCCACTGTTATCGTGCGCAGAGCGGATTCTTCTGCCGGAGTTGTCGAAGGCTTAGTTGTATCTGCAGTTGTATCCATGCTTGGTGTCGCCAGTGCAGCGCGGAGTCGTTACTAAAATACAAAACGCGTGAAACGGCGGGACAAAGCTTTTGGTTGCCAAGTCAATTTCGCTGTGAAAGATTAGGAACGTCTAGTATCGACGCGCGTTTCGTTTTCGGGAGGAAGTTGGAGTAATAGGATCTGGATGACTGGTAAACCTGCACCTTGACTCCAAGTCGTGTCTAGCAGGGTTTCGCACGAGAGCTGTGGCAGGCGGCAAGCATCGGCGGATTTCATGGGCCGCGCTTGGTGAGGCTGGCCGACTTGTAGGCTTCCGCTGGGAGGATCGGGAGAAAACTTTGTTGGTTTTAAGGTCTGGTCATTGTTGGCCGCGTCGCATGCGGCCGCTTTAAATATGCCTGAGGCGAGGGGTCTCGCCGGGGGGAAGGGCCCACATACCTAGGTATCGCGGCTCGTAATTGGTTGGATAAGAGCACACCCATACCTACTGTCGTTGGAGTCTCAGGGTTGGTTTGTATGCCAAGCGCTCCCTGTCCGCATTATCATCCTAAGTAAGCCCAACACACATCAACTGAAATTATGGATGACCAACAAGCCCGCCGCTACTTTGTTTTTTTACAGACGACAAACATAAAATGAGCGTACCGGCTTATCATCTGGTTCGAAAGGCCGAGGCCGAGGTCAAGAAAGACAGCCTTGCTATGTCTAAGCCACCGCTGTTGGTTCTGGAGATGGTGGTCTCTCAAATAGCATCACTGTGACTTCCGTCCAATCAGTAAGCATCCGAGGTCAAGAAAGACAGCCTCGCTATGTTTGAGCCACCGCTGTTGGTTCTGTGGGCTGTCCTGTTCGAGTCTCAGCTGCTGCTGTTGGGCCTGGAGATGGTGGTCTCTCAATTAGCATCGCTATGACTTCTGTCCCATCAGTAATCCTAGAGCACCTTATGTCGAAGTGTTGTTAAAAATAGGTCTGCTGTCATTATTGGTCTGGCCTGCCTCTAATTTTGTTACTACTGGTGATGGGTCTAGTGCCAAAACTGTTTGGACTCTAGATATAAAGGCACGAGGAGAACATCAGCAACAGATTAAAGCTGTGTCGAAAGTTTCCCAAACAAAGCTCTAATATACTTCTCATCATCCAATCCTACCTGACTTTTTGAAACGATATTTCATACCTACTATCATAGCCTCTACGGCTGGTTCCGTTCTTGACAGTTTCTGTTAGACCATATTCTAGAGTCTCTAAGCGGTCATCCAAATCTTTTTATCAGATATCAAAGAACAAACTCCTACCAACAGCACACCCAGCGTCCTGAGGCTCGTGATAGGTATGTCCACCACCGTGTATAACTATCAGCACCGCCTAGCGGAACCGATCTTGGTCACACGGCGAAAGAAGAGCCAAAACAGAAGCCAGCGTTATGACTGACAAGCCATACTAGATCATGTGTAGCCACAAGCTTTACCGTTACAGGAGATGCGGTCACTGGCAGTCAGATGGTTACGCTCCATGCCGACAAGCTGTGGCTAGCAATCAAAGATGCCCCCGTGATATGTGGGGCAGGTTGCGTAGAGGGACGAGAAACGGGTTTTGCGAGCGTTGTTACTATCCATCACCGTCGGATACAGAGTGATTGAAGTCGGATGGCTTTTGTAACGGGCTGGGACCGACACCGGCTCTCGGCCACACCCGGAGCATTTCCTGTCTTTAACGTTGTCCTATCTTTAACGTTGTCCTGTCTTTAAAGTTGTCCTGTCTTTAAAGTTGTCCTTTTTACTTTTAGTTTCCTCCCCGCACTCCAATTGATCTTGTCAACAACGAGGTCTTTAATGAGACGAGCACCTCTTCATCCGACATTAGCAGACCAGATCCTTTTACTTGGCCTTTTCTGACACTGAAATTGCTGTATTTATCTTCACGGAGCATAAGGTGAATGCTTAGGGTTGACCAAATTTCAGCATATATTGGTAGTAAGAGTAATAGAACTGGAAATACCGTCCGAAGAAATTGAAGGCTGATAGGACTGATTTCGGCTCGTATTACCAACCCTGCACTAGATGTGCTCCAGTCAATGAAAAAGAGATCCCCTACCGTTTCAATTGCATCGCCTGTTTGCAGACTGACCACGTACACCAACCATACTCGCTGTAGACCGTGGACACGGTGTTTGCCACGAGGACTCATCGAACTTGCATTTGTACGGCAATTTTTGGTTGAAGTTTCGTACTAAAAGCTGACGGACCCATTTGAATTTGCGTTGGACAGAATCCACTCACTTAGTTGGTACCGAAAAAACTCTGAGCAGCCTGGGCAAATCCTTCATTAGATGACTGCATAGAATCTACGAGTCATTTTTCCGACAAGGCTGTTTTAGCTGGGTGCTGGACGGCAATATCACTTTATTTTGCTATTGACTGTTTTCTATTTGAAAGCAGAGAACAACAAGACACCCCTATTGAAACACATTGTCTTCACCAGTAAATTGAGTAGTTCGAAGAATCTTCAATCGATATGTCCACTAAAAAAGGTTTGTTTAATTCCTTGAACCTGGATCGTAAAATGTAAAGGAGGCTGTGACTGAGGATGAAGACTGGTTAGGTAATGTAAATGGAGGAAGACTCAAATGCTTCAAGAGGGACAACACATGAGTCCACTCTGCTTACCGTGTGGGTCAACGGCATCGATGATTGCCCTTCAGCTTTGCCTGAACAAGATCTTATCGCAGCAAAGTTGATCATCGGAACGCAGATCGACACGAAAGTGTTCCGGATTGTGGAGAGTGTTGCTTATTCCTGTTGAGAAATATCATCACGGTGAAGAGCAGTGACACGGCAAGTCGGCATATCGGCATAGGATACATTGAGCGCTCAAGATAGTTTTGAAGACGTGGCATGAATATTCGGAATCAGAGATTACATAGCCTTATTAACCCATCTATAAAAGGGTCTTGATTCCCATGAGTTCAGTTTCCTTCTGTGGCTCCATCATCACCGCTTTGCACAGTTTAATCAACTACGATAACCTCCACTAAACTCCTCAGAGTTCCAAACTCAAACAACAAGATTCATCATGCAGTTCCTCAATTTTCACTCCCTTGCCGTCGCCGTTCTGGCCGTTTCTGCCGTCGGCGCAAGCCCTACTTCAGAGCATCAGAACTCTAAGCGCAATGATGGGGTCAGTCGGCCAGACTCAACAGGCAGCTGTCAAGCTGGCTAGTAGCTAATCAGAAAGAAATCAACAGGAGTGCAACGGAACTTCGTGCAACCTCAATCCTGGCGGACTTATCCCGTCAAACTATGAATGCACTATTGGATCCGTAAGTTGACAAACGGCGGGACGTCGTAACCTAAGACACTTAGCTGAGACCCCGAAACCATCGCTTTCAACGTGCTAACATGCTCGAATAAAGTGCGTTGGCTCAGGCGGTGGTGATGGTGCATTCTGCAAATCCGTCGGCACGACCAACGACATCCTGTGCCCTGTGAACTGTGGCGATCGGTGCCCTCAGTGATCGTGTGGTCTACGTGAGGCAGGAGAACAGCAGGGGTTTCATGGTATTCTCGTGCCGACTTGAGCCTCTACAATCATTCGTTGATATGTGGCTGAGATGGTCATGTATCGGTCTCTCTCACTCTTTTCGGTGTCTGGCATGGGGCTATGTTGGCGAAAGTTTTAGATTTGTGGGAAGAAATGTCCGATTACGTTCAAACAACAGATGTTCGGCGCCTCGTATGAAGCGTTCGACTCAATAGCTGTTCGATCAGCTCATGTCCTTTCAGTGTTGCTCGAGCAAGCTCCTCAAGATGTCAATTTTGTCTAATAAGGGCTGCAATAGGAACGTAATTCTCACCTTGGGGCACTGACACTTCAAATCCCCCTACGACATAGCTTCTGCATTCCAATCTAGTATTATCAATTTAGTAATACCTCGGGAGTACTGAATCCCCCAATTTTCATGGCTGTATTTTTCGCTACACGGCCGGCAGGTAGACGGCCAAGCTTGGCTTGGCAGCGTTGAAGGGGTGTCTGCACTGCAGCCACCAGTGAAAGAGTGCGTGTTGCAGTAAACTATCTTTTTAGAGTCCGCAGCACAGTATATCCACCAAACAGCCATAGCGGGCTAACTCTGCGGCGGAAAGCCCAGATATCATGACGCATTGGTTGATTGGGTATATAAATTCTCAGCAGCGATGTATCCTACCCTCGGTGTCTCAGTGCAAGGACTGGTGTGCACTCCGCAGCCTGCTCTCTTTCCTCCTCATCTCTACGCCACACACATTCTAGAAGCTGGTACGGCCGTTGATGATATCGACAGGGTAACCCAATATGTACTCTTTGCTCAACTATTGTTATGCTTTGGACAGCTTGGGGAGTCATCTCGCGCGGCCTGATTCCTCGTTCTTTTTCTTTTTGTGCGAACATGTCTTATAATTTTGGAAACTGCCAAGAAATCATGACCTGTCCTGTTTATACGATTCCTTCAAATTTAGAATAGTGTAGACGAACGTAGCAGGGTGTATTTCCTCTCTTCTCGACGAACACAAGCAACGTGGAAAGGGCGCGTCAATGCTGCAGGTTCTCTCGAATGAGTCACACTTGAATATGCTCTTCAAATCTTTTGTTTAAACTTTGTACAAGTATATAATGATGAATGTATTATGTTGAGGGTGAATGTATTATGGAGTGTTGGTGTGGTATGTGCGCGACTAATCAGGTATGTGTGTGACCAATCAAACAGACAGCCGGGGCGTGGTTCACTTCATTTGAGACAGCTCTTGAGGTGCGGCCTTCTGAATCATTTGCTTTCTTCCTTTTACTCTACATGGACATGTCGACGTACAACAACCATGCCTATTTGTACGGTCCTGGCTCTCCATGGTCCGTGAAAGAACAAACTTCCGATTCATCACTCGAATTTTCCGCGCGCATGCGCCAAGACAAACGCGTTGACATCAAGATTGCGGCGATTAACCGCCATTTTGTCCGTTCGATGTCACCTCGGGCTCATTCTGCTGCCTCTTCACTTCCTTCGCTTCTTACCACATCGCGCCTTCATCGATTGATTCTAGCTCTAAGGCAACAGAATGGCCGCAACTGAGACTAAAGAGGCGATTCAAGAGGCCCTCCTCCAAAAAGCGCGTCACTTTGGGTTCCTACGAATATATGACTATGACGTGAACATGCCCTTGTTGCTCAATCCGCCTGAGTCACCTCTGCCATGCCGTGAGACCCCAGATGAGTTCGAAGCCATCAACTCGAGTTTCTCAGCCCGAATCCACAACCTCTTCAACGCGCTCCACGACTTTGAGACATCCAGGGACGGTGACGCTTTCATCCGCGCGGATGGGCTGCAGCCCGCCATTCGCATCATCAACCAGTCTTTCGACATCTACCCATCCAAGTCCTGCCTGCACCGCAACTTTCACTCGCGCCGCCTCTTCCTGCGTGACGACCACGACGAGGATCACCCGGCCACCTCGCTGCCCCAGCTTTTGCGTGTCACTAAGCTCCGACTTCTTCCCCGGGAAGATTATGCCAGCGCCGTGGAGTACGCGAACGCGCGCCCTGTCTCACCCCGCCTGCCACTGCAGCTCGCGACCCGCTGCCCGAACCTGCGCGAGCTCGACTGTCCCTGGCTCTGGGAGCGCACCCCAGCCGTTTTGCGGGTGCGCTTGATGCGCGATTTCACCCGGCCGTGGGAAGGGCCGTGGCGGGACGCGCGCCACGAGTTTGGCCGTGCGGTGCGAGAGTTGAGCGAGCAGCTGCCCGCTTCGCTGCGCAAGGCGCGCTTGTGGTTCTGGAAGCCGAGTGCTTTGTACATGGAGGACGACCAGAGTATGCCCATGCCGGATCTGGTCCGGCCGGAGAGCGCGGATCCCCTGTCGCTCGGCCTGCGGGAGCTGGCGTCGCACTTGGAGGAGTTTGACTTGCGCGCGTTCGTAACGCCGGATCTGTTCCGGGCGCCGGTGGCGTGGCCACGCATGAAACGGCTGCGCGTCGAGTTTCATCCATGGTGCCCTGACGGGACTTGGTATTTTGTTGGACCTGGCGGGCAAAATATCGAACCCGAGGGTGGCTATGAGGTCACGGATGAGCATTATCCGCCCGAGGCGCCGAACGAGCTGGACGACGAAATGGATGAGGGGTATGTCGAGATTGAAGGAACCGACGAGGAAGCAGAATATGCTACGAACATGTTCCGCACGGAACCTCTCTCGTCGAAAATTGACCCTCTCTTGTTCGCGTTCGCTGAGACGCTAAAGCGCATGCCTGCGTTGGAAGAGGCAGAGTTATTCGTGTACCTTGCCTGGCAGCCTTCTGAAGAAAAGCGAGATATGTGCGAAAGCGCTGACGAGCTACTGTTCAACATGGACCGCGCAATTTACAGATGGGGTGTCAGTTATGCCCCAGGCATAGATGGTGGCAAAGATATCGTGACGTGGCAAGTCGGCGCATGGAGGCCCCAGGAAAACGTCATGCGGGCATTCTCGTCTTTGGATGGGGGAAATGGCGAAGACATCATTATTTGGAAGCCCCTCAAGTTCCTGGATCAGAGAATTGACCTAAATTAAACAGACCTTCTATGATGAATCTTGTCATCGTGACCGCCACCGCTTTCAAATTTCTGCATATTCTTTGCAATATGGGATGCGCCTCCCAATATCCGACCCAAACCACAGTGGCCTACGCCAAGATCATTGTGCAGTGCACGTATAGACTAAGGACAGCACCTTGGAGTGGGATGAATTATTCACGCGAATAGGGCTCTCACGGTATCTTTGAAGAGCTTCTTTCCTCGTCCTCTCTCTCTTTTCTTTTGCTGTTTTTAAAAGTAAAAGATTTTGTAAACGACCTATATGCCTGGCATTGAATTGAACAGTAATAAAATAACAACTTGTACAACCTTATTCATTCCCTTAAATTAGCGCCATTCAAGTTTCCTATCGACCAGCCCATCTCCGTGGTGCAACTCAACCAAGTAGCTTTTGAAGTCCTTCGCTGCTTCCGCAACTCGCATAAAGTCTTCTTCCTCCAGCGCGGGTCTTTCGTGTTCCTCCTTCTCATCTGATTCAAGTCGGGAGAAGTGGTATTCTGCAAATGCTATTGCTGTTTGAAAAGCTATGACACAAGCGTGATGATCAGAAGAAGATTTTGCAAGGCCATGAGAGTCGTTGGTTCGATCACCGGGAAAATACGTACCGTTTCGCATTTCCCTTCCGTTCCATTCGAGGTCCCTCATCTCCTGATTGTCAAGTACAAATCTCACTGCCTCGCGCGAAATTTTGATGGTTTCGCGCCGCTCAGCCTCCAGCTTCTGGAACATTTGCTGCCACATGCGACGTCGGATATCAGCCGTAAAGGTATAGTAACGGATTGTTGCGTGAATACGCGACACGAGGCCTTCATCGAATGCGCCGACCCGGTTAGTTGTTAAGAAGAGAAAACCGCGATAATTCTCCATAAACTTCGTGAAAACTATGAATTGTCAGCTTTTGTTGATCACCCGACATATTTCAAAAGAATTCAGCTGTAATTTTGATGATACGAACCAGACACTATGCTGTTCCTCTTTAAGTCGCCTCCTGATCTTCTCTCCAGGAACGCGTCGACCTTATCAATAACTACAACAGCTTCCCATAGTTTGGCTAAGCGGAACCACTTAGACAGCCTCTGCTCCACAGTAATCTCTTTATTTCCAATATCTCTACTGGTCAATGCGATAAGTGGTCGTCTAGTTGCTTCTGCAATGCACTCTGCAGTCTTTGCCGATGGCGGGAATTTGATTAACAAAAGTCGTACACGCGCGCGAAAGGGGAGTACTTACATAAGTTTTGCCAACGCCAGGTGGTCCGTGGAGAAGCACAATCCGGCCGGAGTCCTCTTGGCGCACGAAGTCTGCTGCCCAGGGCCGAGATGTTCCGTTCTTGGTGTTTGTACTGCCGAGGGCAATCCCTCTAGTATGACGATGGACCAACGCACCTATTGTGGCCTTTGTCCGCGAGTTTAGAACAAGGCTATCGATCCCGCTTGTGTTGAATGTCACTGCCTTGCAGCTAATTACATCGCACCTTACTGCAAAGTAGAGTTAGCCTACAATATTCTTTTTGTAATATATACTTGCACAAGTCTTCTAGAGATTAAATATACCCTAAGCTAAGGCTTTCAAATCAAACCCTACAATCTCTGGAGGAGTTAACATCAAGAAGCAAGGCTTGACATTATTGGGCTGTACAGAATGTAGTTGCTCCTTGAACGTTTCAGCCAATTCTGGTTCGATTGGACGACTGCACTGGTCAATGATGATTCGTTGTTGGCCCTGCGAGAGAGTCAACCTTTAGAAAGGTCCAGCTTAGAAAAGTTGCAGGATATGATAAACTTACATCGGTCTTTTCAATCTATTTATAGTAACTTCTAGATAATATAGATTAGTAGTGCTGCCTATAAGCAATAAGTTGTTTTTATTAAGCAATTTTATTAAAAAAATATCCTATAGGTATATACTATAATACAGCCGTTTCTTACATTCCTGGAAAATATATTACTTTAATATTTTAATACCGCTTATATATATAGGTTTTGTTGTAGTTAATTAACTAAGCCTAAATTTTTAGCAGATTATATATACTAAATAGTATTTAATCTATTCTACTTAATTTAGAAATTATAAAGGCTTAAAAGTACTTTTTATTATATGTGTATATAATGCTCTTAAGGGTATATATTATTAGAAGTTGTATAAAGCTAGCCTTATAGCAGTGCTTTTCTTAAATTTAGGTTAGCTATAAAGAAATTACTAATAGATTATTCTATATAGGGTTAAATAAAAGTGTTTGCTTTAGGCTTACTTAGTACTAATATAGTATAAGTAATAAAACACTTTTTATAATTGCACTTTAGGGTTATAAAAAATTAAGTATAAAGATAATTTTAATAAGCTTACTTTATTTAAAAATATATAAGCGCTGCATAATATCAGACTTTATATTGCAAGCTTTAGGTCCGCTTTAAATAAGATTATTAATACCTTTAATAACAAGTATAATATAATAAATATCAGCTTTTTTCAGAAATTCTAATAGTAGTTCTTAGAGTCCTTAAATTGTAAACATCCTCTCTCTAATCACAAATGCTATGCTGCTTTAAAATATAAAAGGATTTTGCTAAAGTAATTAAGACAATAGATCTTGCATCATAATCAAATATTTATTGGACTCATTATAAGAACCTTTTGAAAAATGCTATAATATAATAACATTTTTAAAGTTGCTTTTAACTAGCTAAAGTAGAGGAAAGATAAAAGATGCATTAAAGCTAGCCCTAGTTAAAAGTTAATATGCATCCACCTAAAGGATCTCAGATATTAGTAATTTAGCTTAAGCTAATACTATCTCTAACTTATTGAAATTCTTATACTCTAATTAATATGCTTTTATCTTAGGAAGTTATTCTTTAGCATACTAATTCCAACTTATATATTAATTAGCGTAATAAAGTTTTAAAAATAAGATATTATAAACAGCTTAAAAGTTTTTTAAGAATATAGTGGCTGATATAAAGTCTGTTCAATATATTAGTATTCAAACGGGCTTATATTAGCCACATAAAATTATCACCTGATTCAAATTGCCAACTACTTTCTTCTATTACTAGCAAATTTAATCTTGCTGCTATAAAATGTCTTAGGATAGCTTTGGCCTATGTAATATCTTCCTTCTTTTTAAACTACAACATAGTAACCTCTATTTTATCATATAAATCCTTAATTAGTTCTATAACTTTCTCAACCTTTACACTGTATTATTATAGAAGCAATAGATTCCTATAAATCATAGTTATGTTAGTATATCTATTCAGAAGGCCGGAGTATTATACTATTTCTCTAATATTAGCAAGACTTTATTTAATACTATCAACAATATCCTAAAAGCGCTTCCACAGTTTTATTATAGCCTTAACCTAAGTCTCTAAATGTAGGTTACTGTTAATTCTGCTTAGATACTCTTTTAAGGCTTCCACTTACTTAATCGACTTTGTATATAGTACTTAACAGCTTTTATAAGGAAGCTATAAAATAGGCTATATAATTAGGAAATTAAGTTTACTAGCTAAAATAATTTAATATATAAGGTTAAATAGTTAATAATTTTAAACTTAACTTTAATTTACTTAAAATAATTTTTATACTTTTACTTAACCTTTTTATAGTTGATTTGGACAACTATTATAATTTTAATTGCGCTATAGGTAAAGCCAATATATTCTAGCGCCTAACTGTCACGAGAGGGACATAAAAGAGGCGAAGCTCTCAAGTCTTGCTCATTATTGTAGAATTCTAAATAAGACCTTGTCTTGCTAAGAAAAAAGAGTAGGAGGGAAGGATGCCTCCGATTGCAGTCAGGCCTTAAGAGCAAAGGGCCTTAGGGCTGCAGGTGGTCTGTGCGCTGTGGCCCACCTGCAGTCACTCAACCTGCCCGCAGCGCCGTCACACTAACCTACCATTACATCAAGAATTTAAATATACCTGTATACAACTTTATTTATTTTCCGTAATACACTCTTTATTTTATTAATTACTGATACCTGGCTTCTAGTAGCAGAAATTTGTTAGATGCATTTATTAATCTCCGTAAATTTACTTCGGCTATCTTCTAAAAGCCTCTGCTCTTAAGGTGACGCCTCTGTCATAAACTCAGCCAATCGTCGTTTAAGATCGATTATGGATTCTCAGATACAGGTCCTGGAAGTCTTAGTCAATTGCATTTTATGCCTGATCACAGATAAGGTGTTTCTCGCTTACTGCCTTAGAATCGCACTCGTCCAATTCTTGTCATCCCACTCTGAGTCGAGCTCGGGTCCATGAGATTGGGAAACCTGGCTAGGAAAAGTAGATTCCGGGGGTCCAACCGCAGGAGACCTTGGAATTTGAGACTCTATCAGAGTCTCAGGCTCTTCGGTGAGCGATGGGGGAGACATTAAGATATAATTTGCTACAATCTACTGCGGATTTCGTGCTCTGATAGGTCCTGAAGGAGCAAGCGTCGATATCTCCGCGTTAGTGAAAGTTGTTGGATGTTGAAGCCTTCTGTCCGAGGTCAGCCGCAAGACGCCCCTCACCATAGACCACGTGCTGTAAGCAAGTGCAGCCACAAAGTTAAACCATCCCTGTTCAGGCCACTTGTACAACATGATACGAAGCAGATTGTCCTACAGCTATCAAAGTAGTAGTTATGGCATTAGTTAAAACCTTTGAAACCACTCACCTTCAGTCAAAGAGGCCGTATATAATTGTCAAAACGTTCAGTATACAAAGATTTATATACTGTGGGAATAGTAGCGTCAGCGTTTGTAGTGGGCTGATTGGTCCGAGCGGCCTACGCCTATAAGTAGGTTACAGAGGGATGCAGCCTTCGGCTGCTTCCTATAATCAAGCAAGCGACACAAACCCAAATCAACAGCAGAATCCCCAACTGCACATTGTATTCGAATACGTGACCTAGCCAACATATACAAAAGATTTAAATACAAAATTCAACTTGGAATTTACATAAATTTATTACGAGAATAAGGACAGAATAATGAAATAGCAGGTCATTTCACTTGCAGCTTCTTTATATAAAAATATGTACAGACATGGAACCTCAACAGAAATCAACATATTTCTACAGCCAAATCGAGCCTTTGTGCCGTGACGATGTAGGAACCGTCTCAACATCAATCTTTACACGCATAGAATATCTATGATAAAACTTTTAGAATTCTGATAATAATCGATCCACCTTATTTCAAACTTGGTCCATTCCAAAGAATTTCAGAAGAACAGCATCATACCTGTCATATTGATGTTAAGAGAACTAAACCCGAGATCTCAATCACTGCCTGGAGAGGGGGGACGGGGAGTATTACTGTGTAGACTCGTGTTTCTAGCCCTCACTTAATCATAATCCATTTAAGGAGAGCAAATCCTGACCAGTAATCACTCCTCGATGGCCTGCAAATGTCCACTGTTTACTGCTCAATGAGTTCAAATATGCCATCACCGTGCTTCCTCTTGGAGTGAGCATCCAGACTGACTCTAGCCCGCGGTAGACCGCATTTTATGCGGCCCCATGTTCTGATACCACGTTGAAGCTGTCACGAGAGGGAAATAAAAGAGGTGATGCTCTGAGTCTTGTTAATTACTGTAGAATTCTGGATAAGCCCTTGCCTGCTAAGAAAAAGGAGTATGAGGGATGGTTGCCATTTGATTGTGATTAGCTCTTAAGAACAGAGGGCCCTGGGCCTGCAGTTGGTCTGTGCGCAGCCACCCCCAGTCACGCATCTGGTTGGATTCTGTTGCACTTAGGCCTGATACCATTGCACACTGTGCCAACGATGTCTGATCTAGGGTGCCGATCCTGAGTGGGCTCGGTTGTCCTCGTGAGGGCTGCGCTTGCTGGTTGAGATCGCCCTGTGCGGGCTGCAACTGTGTCCTTACGAAGTCCTGGTTCTGCTGTAGTGATATACCGGTACCGGCGAATACGAAGTTGCCGCTTTCAGCAATTTGCGAAGGATTTGCGTAGTACAGAATCTTCTGGTTCAATTGCTGCACGCCGTGAGTCGGTGTCATTCGGACCATTCCCGTCATGGAGGCTGGCTGGTAGGACTGGGTGTATGTCGTCTGTATCAGGTTCAAGGGCGCATTGTTGTAAGGCTGTGGCTGACCGTTGAAGGTACCAGGCTGAGGTAAGTGGCCACCGAAACCTGGCTGTTGCGTGGCTGTGCCTGAGGTTTCCGTTCAGCTTCGGGCGCTCCCACGCCAATATCTTTAGCCCTGACGTCCTCATGAATATTGTACAACTATTTGAGGTATTTGGTGAAATCGAGGTAGCCTTTTGATACAGTCTTGAAGTGGTACACAGCAAGACGAACTTCTTTGTCTGGCTCAGGCACCTCTTGATGACTACCAGCTT